CAGCGTCGCAGATCGCAGCCCCCCAGGGACGGCGAGGTCTCGCTCAGGTCCCCGCGGTGCGTCAGTCCGCAGGACCCACCAGCAGCCTTCGAAAGCGGCGACCGTTTCGCAGATCACAGCCCCCCAGGCACGGCGAGGTCTCGCTCAGATCTGCGCGGTGCCTCACTCCGCAGGACCCACCAGCAGCCTTCGAACGTGGCGACCGTTTCGCAGGTCGCAGCACCCCAGGGACGGCGAGGTCCCGCTCAGATCTGCGCGGTGCTTCACTCCGCAGGACCCACCAACAGCCTTCGAACGTGGCGACCGTTTCGCAGATCGCAGCCCCCCACGCACGGCGAGGTCTCGCTCAGATCTGCGCGGTGCTTCACTCCGCAGGACCCACCAGCAGCCTTCGAAAGTGGCGACCGTTTCGCAGATCGCAGCCCCCCAAGGACAGCGAGGTCCCGCTCAGATCTGCGCGGCGCCTCACCCCGCAGGACCCACCAGCAGCCCTCGAAAGTGGCGACAGTGTCCCAGATCGCAGCCCCCCAGGGACCACCAGCAGCCCTCGAAAGTGGCGACAGCGCCGCAGATCGCAGCCCCCCAGGGACGGCGAGTTCTCGCTCAGATCTTTGCTGTGCTTCACTCCGCAGGACCCACCAGCAGCCCTCGAAAGAGGCGACAGTGTCGCAGATCGCAGCCCCCCAGGGACGGCGAGGTCTCGCCATATTCTGCGCGGTGCTTCACGTTCCGCAAGGACCCACCAACAGCCCCTTCGAACTTGGCGACAGTTTGCGCAGATCGCAGCCCCCAGTGACGGCGAGGTCTCTCGCTCCAGATCTTTGGCGTGCCTCACTCCGCAGGACCCACCAGCAGGCCGAAAGTGGCGACAGTTTCGCAGATCGCAGCCCCCCAGGGACGGCGAGGCCCCACTCACATCCGCGCGGTGCCTCACTCCGCAGGACCCACCAGCAGCCCTCGAAAGTGGCGACAGCTTCGCAGATCGCAGCCCCTCAGGGACGGCGAGGTCCCGCTCAGATCCGCGCGGTGCCTCACTCCGCAGGACCCACCAACAGCCTTCGAAAGTGGCGACAGCGCCGACAGTCGCAGCCCCCGGACGGGAGTCTCGCTCAGATCTGCGGCCGGTGCCATCACTCCGCAGGACCCACCAGCAGCCCTCGAAAGTGGCGACGAGTTTCCGCAGATCGCAGCCCCCAAGGACAGCGAGGTCCCGACTCCATATCCTGCGCGGTGCCGTCACCCCCGCAGGACCCACCAGCCTCGCCCTCGAAAGTGGCGACAGTGTCCCAGATCGCAGCCCCCCAGTGACCACCAGCAGCCCTCGAAAGTGGCGACGGTGTCGCAGATCGCATCCCCCCCAGGGACGGCGAGGTCCCGCTCAGATCTGCGCGGTGCCTCACTCCGCTGGACCCACCAGCAGCCCTCGAACGTGGCGACAGTGTCGCAGATCGCAGCCCCCCCAGGGACGGCGAAGTCACGCTGAAATCTGCGCGGTGCCTCACTCCGCTGGACCCACCAGCAGCCCTCGAAAGTGGCGACGGTGTCGCAGAGACATCGGGGCAGCCCCCGTAGGGATTGGCGAAGGTCTCGCTCAGATCTGCGCGTGCCTCACTCCGCAGGAACCCACCGAGCCCTCGAAAGAGCGACATTTGCGGCAAATCGCAGCCCCAGGGACGCGAGTTCCTTCGCTCAGATCTGCGCATTGGGGCCTCCACTCCGCAGGACCTACCAGTCACTCCCTCGAAAGTGGCGACAGTGTCGCAGATCGCAGCCGCCCCCATCGGTCGGCGAAGAAGAGGCAGGAGGAGGCGGGAGGAGGGGAGGGAGGAGGAGGAGGAGGAGGAGTAGGAGGAGAGGAGGAGGAGGAGGAGGAGGAGGAGCGCGCGACCACAGTGCTCTATTCAAAACGAATACCCAACCAAGGAGGGTTGGGAAGAAGGAATTCCCAGAATTCAAGTTTTTTTTCAAAGTGGGACTCCGACTCGGAGATCCCCCTTGTTGAAGGTGATGGTTATAGTATGGACTTATACTCACAACCTGATGTATTTTCCTCCACTCCACCTGCCGGACCCGTGTCTTGCAATGTTTAAGCGTCCGCTGCTAAGATCTTTACACGGCCAGCTATCGCTGGGCAGGCATCTGGATAGAACATGAAACGTGAAACCTGCATCTGAGCCATAACGTTTACGGAAAAACACTTCGGAGATCCCCCACATCCCCTGACATCTGGCCGGTACCGCGTCTCCCGGCTTCCGGGGGGGCCCCCAAGACGCCCAAGGACAGCCCAAGACGACCCCAAGGAGCCCCCAGAACGCAAAGAACGGCCCAACACGCTCCCGCGCAGCCTGAGACACCCTTCCGACGGCTCTCCAGGCCTCCAGGAGGCCTCCAGAACCCCCAGAGGGTCCAGAAGCCACACCCCTGAGGGACCCGGCTAACAAAACCCGCGAGGCACAAACAAAAAACAGCGCCAAACAGCGCCGAGGAATTGGAAAAAATGGATATCCCACAATTCCGTTTTTTTTCAAGTTTGGCCCCGGGTCTACTCTTGCACAACAGATCGCAATTCAGACCCCCTCACTTCCCCCAAAAAACCCAGGAAGCCTTTGAGGGCCTCAAATCGTTGAATACTTAAAAGGAAATTAATTAATGACATTTGCGTTTCCGTACTTCCCCTTCTACACGATTCCGAGGCTTGCGCAGGGCCTCCAAGGGAGTCCCTGGACGTAGGAAGCTACCAAAATGACATTACATGAGTTGGCCGATCAAGCCTAGCTATGACTGGGGGCTCGGGACCGCGGCCTCGAGCGCGTCTGGGGCGCTCCTGGGACGGCTCCCGAGGGCGCCGGAGGCCGCCAAACAGATCAAGAGGGCGCACGAGCCTCGAAATGTATCTTGAAGATGCCGACGATTGCTCCAAGAGGGCTCCTGGGATCCTGGGAGCCCCCGTGACAGCCCAAGAGGGCCCCAAGAGCCCTCCCAAGAGGGCCCCAAGATGCAAAAATGGCCCCGTCCCCGTCGGAAAACGTACATTTTTCAGGGATTCGCCTCTTCCCCTTCCAGGGGAACGAAGACGGCCCGAGAGGCCGCCAGGATCGCCCCAAGACAGCCCAAGAGGGTTCCAAGACAGCCCAGAAGGGCCCCTGGCTAGCCCAAGAGGTCCCCAAGACGGCCCAAAAGGGACCCAGGACGGCCCCAAGCAGGGGCCCAGAGAGGATGCCCTACGAACATTTCAAGCCCTCCGCCCCCAGAGGTCCCAAGGAGGCCCCAAAAGGCCCCTAAAACGCCCCAGACGAACCTGGCCCCCCAGAGTTTCCGGAGGCTTCTCCAGCGGAGGTCCACGCGGGGGGAGGGAGAAGGAAGAGGAGGAAGGGAGGAGGAGCAGGGGGAAGGAGGGAAGATGCAGAAAAGATCAGGACGAGGAGGAAGAAGAGGGAAGGCTGAGCAGGAAAAATCCGCAGAAGGACGAGGGGAGGAAGGGCGAGGAAACGAGCATAGGCGAAGAGAAATGAACACTGAATAACGAGGATGTGACAAGAAGCAGTGGGATCCCCAATTCGGCCAAGAGGCCCCCAAGAGGGGCCCAAGAGAGCTCCAAGACGGCCCAAGAGGGCCCCAAGACATCTCATCAGAGCCCCAAGACGGCCCAAGAGGGCTCCAAGAGAGCACCAAAAGGCTCCCAAGACAGCGCCAAGGGGCCCAGAAGATGCCCCCAGGAGAGCCCTGGAGGGGTCGTGGTGGTGATGGCTGCAGTTGGCTTCAGTTCGTGGGCTGATTGTGGTCCTACCGACGATTAGGATGGTCGTGGCGGTGGCACTTGCCGTGGTGGTAGTGATAGTGGTCGTGGATTCGCGGCAGTGGCAGTGGCAATGGTAGTGGTATTGGTGGCGGTACAGGCAGAGGTTCAACCAATGGCCGTTATAGTGGTCGTGGACAGTGCAATCGCTGTGGATGGGTGGTCATGCCCAGAATGGACATGTAATCTGAAATGGTCGTGACCGCGGTGATGGCGGAAAGGGCGGTGGTAGCCGTGGCGGCACTGGCGGTGTTGAGCGTGGTCGCGGGAGTGACTAGAACCTAAGCGCGCGCGAAGCGCGCGCGTGGTTCTAGTATATATATATATATGTATGTATATGTGGATTTATATGTTTGTGTGTGTGCGCACGTATGCTCCATGCATGCTGTCCGTTTTTGAGCCATCTTGAGCCCTTAGTGGGGCAGCTTGAGCCTTTAGGATTCACGAAGGTTGCGCACAAAGCACCTGCCGGGAGACATGAGACCCGACTTATCGTATTTCGCACACCCTGTGAGCGAATGCAAAAACACGCGTGTGTGTCTGTCAGGCAAGGCAACAGCAAAACCAAGCAACATCAAAAACAAAAGCAAAACAACAGCAACAGCAAAAACAAAAGCAAAAACAAAGACAAAGGCAAAAGCAAAGGTAAGAGCAACAACAAAGGCAATGCAAAGCAAAAGCAATACCAATGCGAAAGTGTAGATGTATATGTAAATGTAGGTGTAGGTGTAGATGTGGATGTAGGTGTAGATGTAGATGTAGATGTAGGTGTAGATGTAGGTGTATATGTAGATGTAGATGTGAGTCTCTGCAGGAATCCAGAGACCCCCAGCAGGTTTACTGACAGAGATCATGCCATTGCTGGTATGGCTCAAGGCAAGCATCCGAAGAAAAGATCTCGCCATGGTAGCGGAGCCGTGGTCCCGACCCTCCCAGTCCACAGGGTCGGGCTCCGCGGCTCCCTCTCCCGCCAGCGGCGCGGGGAGCCCCAGCAGCCTGGGGCCGGCCGCCGGTGCGGGAGCCGCAGCAGGGCCTGCCGGGCCCAGCTCCAGCGAGGGCGACGTTTGGGAGCTCGTCGAGGTCCATCGAGGCTGGAGGAGAGTGGCGAGGCAGCTACGCAAGCTGTTCAGGCTGAGGAGGACCTGGGCAGCGCTGGGCCAGCACCTGAAGGATTTCACGAAGCTGCGCGCGAACCGCCGCTGAGATGGCGGAGGAGCGCGTGCAGGCTCTAGAGCAGCATATGATAGCGCTGGCCCAGGAGCTGCAGAACCGCCAGCAGAGGGATAACGATCTCACGGCCGAGGTGCAGCGGCTCGGCCGTGTGGCCGAGGCTAGACCACGGGTGGACGGGCCTGTGCCACAGCCTCGAGCCGAGTCGCTCGTGGACACCCGCACGCTGGGCAAGCCAGACGTGTTCACGGGCGAAGAGCACAAGTGGAACGATTGGAAGGTGATCTTCAAGGCGTACTGTGGCGTCGTGAACGCCGACTTGCTGGCAGGGATGCGACTGGCAGAGAGCGCTGACGAGGCCTCAGTTCAGAACGATGACTTCCTCGAGGAGAACATGAGGCAGGCCTCGCAGCAGCTGTATTACATCTTGCTCCTCCTCTGCCGGCAGCATCCCCTGACGACGATCGTGAATGCTGGCGAGAATGAGGGCTTCCAGGCTTGGCGCAAGCTGGTTGAATACTACGAACCGAATGCGAGGTCCCGCATCGCGGGGCAGCTGCTGAATCTCCTGAACTTCTCGTTCGCTGGCGATGTCGAGGACCGGCTGGCGCTGTTCGAGCGAGAGCTCCTCAGGTACGAGCAGAGGAGCGGCGAGGCCATCACAGCCTCCATGAGGATCGGCATCGTCCTTCGGCAGCTCGAGGAAGGCCCTCTACGCCAGCACCTCTTGCTCAATGCGACCAGGCTGGTGGAGTGGTAGGACTTCCGGCGTGAGGTCACCGACATCCGCCGTGCCCAGAGCGCCATCGCCCCGGTGCCCGCGCCCATGGACCTGAGCGCGTTCACCAAGGGTGACGGCAAGGGCAGGTTCAAGGGCGACGGCAAGGGCAAGAGCAAGTCCAGTGGCAAGGGCAAGAGCAAGGGCGACAGCAAGGGCAAGTCCAAGTCCGACGGCAAGAGCAAGACCAGCAGCAAGTCACATGGTCAGCAGCTCGGGCCACTTTGCTGGGGCTGCGGCGGTCGCGGCCACACTCAGCGTGAATGCCCGAGCAAGCACAGGGGGGCGTTGGCGAGCATGGAGCAGACGCTGGCTCGCATCAACGCCTCCCAGTCGACGAGTACGACCGTGCCATCGGCGGCCTATCTCGACGGCTGCGACTACGAGGCTGAGTCCGGCGACGGCGATGTCCGGCACGAGCTCTCGACAGGTCGCAGCACTCTACCTGAACGACGTGGACGAGCAGGTCAGCTACCCGTTCGCGAACCTCCACTCCCTCAGCATCTACGACCCGGGGCCGGACAAGGCGGACGTGGTCGACTCTGCGACCGGCGCGGCCCTGGACCTGAACATGATCCACGGCAACTCGGATGCGGAGGAGGTCGAGCTCAACGGCATCTTGCGTGTGGGCATCGACTCGTGTGCGGCGGCATCGGTGCTGCCGCGTGGCTCGTGTACGGACTACCCGGTGCACGAGGGCGGCCGGGCGATCTCGTACAAGACCGCCTCTGGCCACTACGTGAACGACGAGGGCGAGAAGATCCTCGTGGGGACGATGCCTGGGGCTTCTCAGGCACGCGCTGCCAAGTTCAGGGTGGCGGACATCAGCAAGCCGTTGCTGAGCGTCGCGGAGATGGTCGACTCTGGCCATCGGCTCGTCTTCGACTCGGAGGGCGGGCAGGACATTAGCTACGCGTACCACAAGACCAGCGGAGACGTTGTCAGGTTCTGCCGCAGGAATAAGGTCTACGAGATGGATATGCACGTCGACCCGTACGTGCCGGAGGTCTGCCCGGTCGAGGTGGCAGGCCACGAGCCTCCCGAGGGTGAAGCCGGCCAGCCAGGCGCGGCTCACGAGGAGGTCGCCGAGGGCCCGCCGGCACGGCCGGCGAGGGAGCCCGCAGCGCCGACGGCGGCCGAGCGAGCCGCGCACGAGGTGCTGCACGAGCCCTACAGGGCATGGTGCCGGGAGTGCGTCTCCGGCAGAGGCCTGTCAGCAGGCCATCAGACGAAGGACCGCCAGGAGTCAGCGCTCGCGGTGGTTGGCATCGACTACGGCTACCTCGGTGAACGAGAGGACGCTACGCCGCTGCTGATCGGGAAAGATTCGAAGCAGCGTTGGTTCCACGCGTCGGTGGTGCCAGCTAAGGGGGCGCAGCATCCCTGGCCGGCAAAGTCGTGGTCCAGGAGGCTGGCTTCGGCTGGCCACAAGCGCTTCGTCTTCCGCTCAGACGGCGAGGCGCCGCTCGTCGCCCTGAAGACCCGCATCGGGGCCAAGCTCAAGGAGGAGTGCGGCATCGAGGCGGTGCCCGAGGAGAGCGCGGTCGGCGACTCTCAGGGCAACGGCCTGGCCGAGCACGCGGTGCGCGAGGTCAAGGCCAAGGTGAGGGCGGCGCGGGCGCAGGTGGACGACCTCCACGGCGTGAGCATTGGCGTCGAGCACCCAGTGACCGCGTGGATGGTCGAGTTCGCAGCCATGTCCATCAATCTGGGCAGGCGGGGCGCTGACGGCCGCGCGGCTTGGGAACTTCGGCGCGGCCGCCCCTTCAACAAGGACCTGGCTTGCTTCTCGGAGAAGGTCCTGTATCTCCCAGGGGGCAAGCGCAAGGCTGGGACCGAGGACAAGTTCCTCGCTGGGCTCTACCTTGGGCTCACGCTTCGGACGGGCGAGGTCTACATTGGCACGGAGTTGGGCGCACTACGGGCCAGGACCTTCAAGTGGTTGACGGTCGAGCAGCGGGCCGACAAGGACCTGCTGAACAGCCTCGTGGGGAAGCCGTGGGCGCCGGTGCCGACGGACGTGGAGGTGGACGAGGTGCCGGTGGCCATCGAGATCCGAGCGCCGGTGCCAGCGCCGGTCGCGCCTTTGGGCGGACCTCTGGCGCCCATCCCCGAGGCTGGGGACCTCCCGCCCCGGGCTCTCCGAGTCGGGCGACCACCAGCAGGACCGCGGGCCGTCTACATCAGGAAGGACGTCGAGATCGCGAAGTACGGGCTCTCCCCGGGCTGCTACGGCTGCGCCGCGATCCTCAACGGCGCCCGGGCGCAGGCTCACTCAGCCGAGTGCCGCGCTCGGATCGAGCAGGCGATGCAGGACGACGAGGAGGCAAAGCAGAGGCTCGAGGATGCCCGTGAGCGGAAGCGGCATCGCACTGACGTCGCCGGGCCTGTCTATCAAGAGGGCGGCTCGTCAGGCAGCGGCGGTCCAGCCCCAGCTCAGCGGGTGCCGCCAGCACCCGAGGCCGCGGCGGCGGCTGACGTGGCGATGGCTCCGGCACCACACGACCCCGGCGACGACAACATGCAGGAGGAGATCGGTGCCCTCCTGCTCTCTCTCGGCTACAGCGGGCGCAAGGCCGACGTGATGGAGGTCTTCTGCCCGAATAGGCTTGTGGGCTTTGCCCCCCTCTTCGGTCTGGTTCACGGCGGCTCGTTCGACCTGAGGGTTGGCTGGGACCTGACCGACCGCCAGCAGCAGCGACAGTGCCGGGAGCTGATCGAGCACTTCGAGGTGTACTTCCTCTTGGGCAGTCCTCGCTGCGCGCCGTTCTCCATGCTGAAGTACCTGAATGAGGACACGGAGAAGCAGCGTGAGGCCTACGCCATCGGGTACGAGCACTTGAGGTTCGTGATGGAGCTCTACACGCTGCAGGTGAAGCACGACCGCACGTTCTTGCACGAGCACCCCTGGAGCGCGGACAGCTGGGACCTGGACATCGTGAAGGATGTGATGGCTCTCCCGGGTGTCGAGGTCGGGCGAGGCGACCAGTGCGTGTTCGGCCTGGTGGTTGCGGACGCGCACGGCGACAGGCTCGCCAAGAAGCCGACAGGGTGGATGAGTAATAACAAGGAGGTGTTGGATGAGGTCTGCAAGCGCTGCCCCAATGATACTGGCATTGGCAGCCGCCACGAGCATTCCACCTTCGTCGGCCGCAACATGCGTGTGGCGGAGAGGTACCCGGTCAAGCTCCTCCGCGCCATCCTCCGTGGCCTCCGCCGTCACCTTAGCAACAAGAAGGTGCTCACGCTTTCGGCCCTGGATGCTGGGCCGAACGTGGACGATGAGGAGATCAGCCTGAAGGACTTCGTCGGGAAGTGGCGCGACACGCTGAGGACCGAGTTCTACGACGACCTCACCGGCCTCCCGCTGGACCCCACGCGGGTGAAGGCCGCGAGGCGCCTGGAGATGGATTTCATGGCGCAGCTTGGCGTGTGGGTCTACGCGAGGGAGGAGGACTGTCAGCGCGAGCTTGGACGGAGGCCTCTCAGTGTGCGCTGGGTTGATATCGACAAGGGCGACACCGACCGGCCGGATTACAGATCCAGGCTCGTCGTGCAGGAGACCAAGGCGCAGAGCACCATCGCCGGGGACGACATCGGCGCGGTGTTTGCGGCGACCCCGCCGCTAGAGTGCCTCCGGCTCATCTGCAGCATGGTGATGTCGAGCGACCCGTCCGAGGGCCGCGTGCTGCGCTTCCTGGACATCTCGCGGGCACACCCGCACTGTGAGATCAAGAGGACGGTCTACATCAAGCTTCCAGAGGAGGATCCGATGTCGCAGGAGATCGGTACGTGTGGGCTCTTGCGGATGGCGCTCTACGGGACGCGCGACGCTGGCCAGAACTTCGAGCTCACGACTGCCGAGACGGTCATCGGTGCTGGCTGCGACCAGTCGGCCTTCTCGCCTTGCGTGTACTGCCACAAGGACCTCCAGGTGAGCTTCTTCCACCACGGCGACGACTTCGTGCTCGAGGGCTCTCGGGACGGGACGGAGTCGATCTGCGAGGCCCTGAAGACGAAGTTCATCGTGAAGGACAGGGGCGTGCTCGGGCCGGCGCCTACCGACGCAAAGGAGATCACGTGCCTCAACAGGGTAATGCGCTGGCGAGACCGATGGTGCCGAGGGGGCGAGGCCATCGAGTACGAGGCGGATCCCAGACACGCGCAGATCTTGCACGCGCAGCTTGGAATGGACCCCCGCACCACGAAGTCATTGAGCACGCCAGGGCTGAGCCAGAAGCTTACACCTGACGTCG